CATCTTTCTCTGGAATTAAATTCTTTAATATCTACTACTTGTGTCCAGTTACTAGAAGACAAGGAAAGCAATTTATTGTTTCGGTAGTAAGTTACCTATAATTGCTTCAAAAAAACCTGATATGGGAAGACTAGAAAGCTGACTTAATCATCTTTGCTTTCAAGATGTTAGAAGCAAACTGAACAGAGATTTACTAGTATGATAGGTAAAAATAAAAAAATATATGGGGAAAGTATCTGATGACTGAAAGAAAAGCGAAAACCATGGATAAATTCCAGTGTGGTTGGTTTTATTACATACTTGTGGTGGCAAGGCAGGTATTGTACTTTTCAAATTCAGAGAATACAGCTCTAAACCAATAAATAACAAATGTAGTTATCTGTTGAAACACAGAATAAACTACTTAAAAGCAAATAACTCTTCTGTGGGGTCAACTAGACTAGAACATAAGTTTCTACAACTTTATTACGGTAGCTAATCGTTTAAGAACAAAACATATGTAAATAAACATCAACAAAAATTAGCTTATGGGAAAAAAATGCAAGCTATCCTTAAGAGAACTTAGCATGAACTGACTGTATCTACAGCAGGTGCCTTAGGGCCCTGTTTGAATCATTCATTAAAAAAAAAAAAACAGACTAAGGGTCACTGATGAAACAGTTTGACCATTAATATTATACTCTGCAATGAAAGTAACAATAGTAAATAGTTTTTGTCTGTCTGCTGTGTTCTTACCACTGCATTTCCCAAATTTAGAACAGAGATAATTTAACAAAACTCAAGCAGCTTTCAGTTTATACCATCTATGTTGTTGTTGTTTTAAGTGTTGTGGAGTCTGTTCTGACTCACAGTGACTCTGTATAGAGTTTCCAAAGAGCAGCTGGTTTGCACCGCTTATCCGATAGCGCTGGAGTCCTGGTGTGGTACTGTGGGCTAATGAATCAGACTTCAAAGTCGTTTGAACTGCAGCGTTGGTGGTTCAAGCTCACCAGTTGCTCCTTGGAAACCCTATACAGGATGTCTCTGTGGGTCATAAACAACTCGATGACACTTAACAACAACAACAACATCCGATAGCACCACACCAGTACTCCAGCTGTAGAATGACAAAATATGTAAGTATCCTATTTTATTTCAGTCTCAAATAGAGGAAGGGAGGTCATAGGATGACAGTAGTCAAGATAGTCCTAGTTGGTAGGAGTGGTTCCACTTATCCTTTCCACCACAGCCCGTCTCTTCTGTCACTGGCCTATGAATGGAAGGAAGTTGATACTCTCAAGATCCAACTGGCCTATGGTTTTTATCTGCCTTCCCTCATTTCCACAATATTTGTAAAACAGTTCAATTTAATACCATCAAGAGGGACAGTAATTGTGTGGAAAATGACTGCCCTGCCCCTACAAAACTCAAGGTCTCAAAACCAATGCTTTAAACACATCATACTTAATAATTGTTATAACACAATTTATATATGAATTATTGAGAACTACCATTTTAGAACTAACAATAACTCCTCCAGGCAACACATTTTAAAAGAATGCACTTTTCTTTCTGGAGTAAAAAATTACTGGTTAGAATTTCTGCTACAAGTCCTAGTTTTCCTGAGTCATAGGTTGCACTTATTTATTGCACAAAGTATTTAAATATAACATTTATTGATTACCACATCAGATTTTAAACACTTCTCTTTTAAATTAGCTCTGGAGGGTAATGACTTTCCAAATTGTACCTGACATTATGAAATACTGGCTCCAATTTTCTTTTTCCTTAATGGACACTCACTTTTCCAAATAACTAAAGCTGGAAGTCTTACTTCAGCCCAATCCTTTTACTTTCCAGACAAAGAAACTAAGTTCTGGAAACTCCTGCAATTCAACTTCAAATCACAGAAAGCTATCTGAAGCTGTGTCAGAATTTGAACTTAGGTCTCCAAACTCCCTAACCAGTGCCCTTTCTATCACAGAAATTCTCACTGTATAAATCAAAGCCCTGAGAGTAGTCCTTAGTCCATTTGGTGTTCCCTCTCTTCCAAGTTCCCTCCTCTTCTTATCTCCTTGATAAATAGAGCAGCCATTCTATGGATGTGCTCCACTTCCACTATGGCATTTTAAGGTGCACAGTTTAACTAGATACAGAGGTACAGGGTTCTGTAGGATGCTTACATTTTAGGAAGAATGTTTTTCTCTTCCTGACGGTGAAAGATAAAAATTAAAGCCTGAGTATTCCTCAGTAACTCATGTTTCTAATCTTAATATCATGTGTCAGATACCCACAAAAGCTTTAGAAAGTCCTTGGTGGCAACATGTTCTTGAATAAGGTGGTTAAAGTCTCCATTCTAAATTGGGTAGTAAAAAGGACCACAGGAATTATTTTCTCAACAACTATTGTTGTTACTGTTAAGGGCCGTCGAGTCAGTTCTAACCCATAGTGATCCTAGGAGCGACTGGTGAGCTTGACCTGTGGTTCAAACTGACTTGCAGTCCAGCGTATTAACCCACAGAGCCACAACAGGACTCTCATTCACTAAATGACTTGGTAACTACTCATGTGACAAATATAATATGAAGTGCTTAAAATTGAAAAATATTAAGGTAACAAGACAAATATGGAAGAACAGCAAGAATATTGCTTTGATTTCTGTCTCCTAAGAAATGTATGTTGTTGTTGTTAAGTACCATGGAGTCAGTTCCGACTCATAGTGACCTTGCACAGGGTTTCCAAGGCTATAAATCTTTACCAGTAGCCTCATCTTTCTCCTGCGAAACGGCTGGTAGTTTTTCCAACTGCCGACCTTGAAGTTAGCAGCCCGACTTGTAACCACTACATTACCAGAGCTCCTTAAGAAATATATGTTGTTGTTAAGTGCTGTAGAGTCGATTCCGACCCATAGCGACCCTGTATAGGGTTTCTGAGAAGCAGTTGGTGAGCCTGAACCGCTGACCTTGCAGTTCAAACAGCTTTGCGGTCTGGAGCATTAACTCCAAGAAATGTATAACCTCTTCAAATTTCTGGATCTTTTAAATTTAGGCCTTTAAGATAACAAGGTGTTTCTTAGTGTCTTGTTTTTCCCTTCTGTTCTGCTATCATCTGTCTTTTAGAACAAAAGAGTTAGTTTTAGTCTTTAAAAAACGTCAGCTGCTCTCCTAGTCTTTATACAATTTATTTAAAAACAACCAATGAATCTGGATCTGGAAATCGTCATTATTTTATCTTTGGTAAGCAAAAGCAAACGGTAAATAAACAGTAAAATAAGTTCAGAGTAAATATGTGAGGTCTTAATAGCTATTAAAGTAAATTACTTTTCAAACAATATCTATTACGAAAGTTTATCCAACTCTCATTACCAGACTATCTGCTATGATTATCAAAAATAACCATACAGTACCACTGTAGGATCAGCACTGGACTGCAAACCACAAGGCTGGCAACTCAAACCCACCAGCTGCTCCTCAGAAACCCTAGACAGGGTCACTGACTTGGAACCGACTCAACAGCACTTAACAACAACAACATAGGCAATCTAAGCCTTGCAACAATAATCTAAGGTAGGTATTTTTCATTATCCTGCACCTAAGGAAACTGGGACACTGTGAGGTGAACTCCATAATTTGCCCAGGGTTAAGGAGCTCTGGTAGCGTAGTGGTTACGAAATCAGGCTGCTAATCTGACGGTCAGCAGTTCGAAACTACCAGCTGTTCCGCAGGAGAAAGATGAGGCATTCTGCTCCTGTAAAGATTTATAGCCTCGGAAACCCTGTACAGGGTCGCTATGAGTCGGAACCGACTCCACGGCACATAACAACATGAAGCATCAACCCAGTTATGCAGGTTCTGAAACCTGTAGCAACTATATGGCATCCTTGGTAGCACAAACAATTTGACAATAAAGTCAAATTTCAGTTTTTATGTGATGCATTACTGAATTGTTCACAGGGCTTGAGTGAATGATTCTGTGTTTTGTTGTAACGAAAAGTTCAAGTTTTCCACCTATACTTCCGGATTTTAGGCTGGGTGGGTGGCACACAAGAACTGTTTTTCTCACCATCCTTATTTCATAATCAGTCACAAACCCAAAAGGAAGGAGACTAGCTAAATTCTTAAACTTTATTTCCTGCTGACCTAGACTATCTGACTTAGTCACTGTTCTATCTCACCAACCCAATCTAAGTGTTAAAAATTTCCTAGTGCACTAAGACACCAAAGTCAGCATTTACGTTTTTTACGGAAATCAACTACATAGTAGTCATTTTACCTGTCAGAGAAGTAAAAAAAAAAAAAAAAGATCAACAGAATAACAGAATATAAATCTGGAATTAAACCAAATGGTTAAGTGGCCCAGAAATGGAACAAAAATGCCTCACCAAAAGTGGAAAGAAAGCAGGAAAAGAATCAGAATAAGTTATAGGTGATCTACTTTCATTAGTGGTAGAAAGGCAAAGGATGAGTCGCCTCTCGAGTAACTTCAGCTTGACCACAATGGCCACTTGTTACACCTACCTCCCACTCCAACAAATTTCAGGTTCAGTAGGAATGAAAAGAAATGCAGCCAGGTAAATAATATACTCCGACCAGGCCTAAAGATTCCACAGCACACCCTGAGGAGTAGAGATCGAGTCTCCCCAAACCCCAAGATTTCCTAGCTGCCCAGGAGGCAAAGCTCACAGCCTGGGGGCAGAGAGGCCCCGGGCGGGCAGTGACCCAAGCTCTGAACAACCCGCCAGCGCTCCAGGGAAGGGCAAGGGAAAGCAGGTGGGAGCAAGAGCAAGGAGGCCTGGGTAGAACAGAAGGGGGCTAATGGGACGTTTTGAAAGGAGGGAGGGTCCCTACCCAGCCACACAGATCGGGACGAGGCCCGGGGCCGGGGAGGGAGTCCGCCGCCGCCATGATGGGGCTGCCCAAATTGGGGGGCGTGACGCCAGCGGTCCCTCACGCAGGGCCAGTTTCCCTCCCGTCTCCCCTTCCCAGCGTGGGCCTCGGCCACAACTGCCCCCCGATACTCACGCTTTGTCCACCAGCTCCCGAACCTTCCACATGTTCAACATCGTGCCCGGAGCGGGCCTGGCCGCCGCCTCCCTCTCCTGCTCCCCACGGACCCCGGAGCACGTCCGTGCCGGGGCAGGTCCAGGCCAGGGTCGCTCCCCGCCTTCTCAAACTCCCCCAGTTGTATCTTTCTCTTGCCACAGCCGCGGCGCCGCCAGTGACACGTCGAGACGCGGCGGCAGAAGTGCTGCGTGGACAGGAAGTGGCTGACTTTCCGTCCGCTGCGCTCGGAGCATGTCGGAACTTGTAGTCTTCTATGTTTACAGAGCGGGCTAGTTGCGGTTGGAGAAAGAGCTGGTGTATAAAGTTGAGATGATTTCTCTTTTACTACTCTTCTCCCCACCCATGCGATCAGGAATTCTTGGGATGACGGAAAAAGCACAATTTGTCGTCTTGGCTTTGTACGATAAGCACTGTACTAGCAACGTCAAGGTTGGCGGTTCGAGCCCGCCAAGATTAGAATGAGGCTTTCTGCTCCCTTAGAGTCGCTGTGTAACAACAAAATTTATTCCTTGAACAAATATGTTTTGGACATCTTTTCATGTACTAGGGATGCAACAGACAACATAAGAAAATCCTTGCGTTTGTGGAGTTGAGATTCTAGACGGGAAAACAACAACAAAAAGGTAAACAAGTATATATTATAAAGGTTAAAGGCCATGAAGTAAAATGAAGCAAGAAATATTTCCTTCTTCCCATTTTGGAGCACCTACCAATAACGGAAATAGCTAACGTACTCGTTGATGACTTTTTATACCATATGCCAAGCACTTTGCTAAACTCTTTACACAGATGATCTCACCTAATCTACACAATTTACTTTCTGCCACACACACAGACCTCTGCGTTCCCTAGACTAATGTATTTAATTGCACTGTTCAAAAGAGGACAAAAAAAAAAAACCTTAAGGAAAACTTAAAAAGCTTTCACGAAGACATACGGATTATTAAAATATAAAGGTGGGGATAAAACCCAGGTGGCTGAATCATGGCTTCAGTTTCTTACCACTCTGCATGTCAAACAACATGCTATAATCTAGTGTCAGGATTAAATTTTTCACAGCTACCACGTGTTATAAACAGGCAGCAGTGGCAACTTTCCCAACAGAATGATGGCTTTTCATCAGCAGGATAAACCATCCAACCACTAAGACTAACCTATGTTAGAAGGCATCCCTTAAAAATTAGTGATCTTCTCAGCTGACTTAGAGTTTGGGCACTCCCCTATGAGAAACACAGAGAGCAGTCCTCTGTGGAACCAGAACCATTTTAGACAAAATGGCTCAAAGAACACTGGGATTCTGTATTATATTTCCTCTTAACAAATCTACCTGGGCACAGGAGGCAGAGGAGAAGGACCAATGCCAGCAGCTCTGAAGAAGGGCACGCAGAGGAAACTTGTCAGATACAGCTTCCCTTGACCCTTTTGGCAAAGGAAAACTCTAGTCAGCTGAGAGTGAGTGAAGTTCTTGGCTTCTAAGGAAAGGCAAATTATTCCCCAAGTAGATGAGTGGATAGGATGAGTCATAGCCCTCACCTGGAGGAGAACTTGAATTGAGGAGACAAGAGAAAATCTGGATGCCAGTCCTATTTCTGCCTCTTAGTAGCCACTTGACAAATTACTTAATGTCCCTTGGTAACTAAATGTCCTCATCTTTGAAGAAAGGATAACAATATCCACTCTGCCACCTTACAGATATGGGTTGTAGGGAGGATCACATGAGATAATGAATTCTCGTGAGACAGCAGTCTCTAATGTAAATCTAGGACCAGCAATGTCAGCAATCCATCAGCAAATTCTTGGGGCCCTGCCCCAGACCTACTGAACCAGAAAGTCTGTGGGTGGAGCACAGTAATCTCTGTTAAACAAGTCCTCCAGGTGATTCTGATGCACTTTCAAGTTTCAGAACCACTGGTGGTGTGGTGGGTTAAGCATTGGGCTGTTAACCACAAACTTGGCAGTGGCTGGAAGAAGATGAGATTCCATGCTCCTGTAAAGATTACACCTTAGAAACTCCAAGGAGCAGTGCTACTCTGTCTACAAAGGGTCACTATGAATTGACATTAACTTGATGATAGTTGATTTGGTGTAGGATCATGCTTCTTAAATGCAAAATATTACTATGTTAATAATGATGTTGTTAACTGTTGAGTCGGTTCCAACTCATAGCCACCCGGTATAGGGTTTCCAAAGAGCAATTGATGGGTTTGAATTGCTAACCTTGTGGTCCAGTGATAAGGAAATGTCACTGGCATATGTGTTCCTCTGTAACAAACACATTGCTATATTTGGTTCTTAACTTTCAAATATACTTTGTTCTCTGGCCTTCAGTTTTCTTTCCTGCTGCAAATTGAAGAGGTAGTATTTTAAAAATCTTTCCAACTCTAATTCTGTGGTACAGTGTTTTATTATTATTATTATTTAGGTAGCTACGTGATGTCCTCTTAAGATGCTGTATTACAAAGCTCAGAAATTCAGTTCACTCTTCATGGGAATTAGCTATAGAAAAACAACACTATATAAATGACACACCTAAGAACTTGGCAGGCTTATGTTCTTAAAGTATAATTATGCATACATATTCCTTTAAGTGTTTTCTTGTAACAGTTTCATCACTTCATTTCTCCCTTATCCATCTTTGTTCATGTTAAAGCTGCAAGAAACTTTAAGTCCATTTGATTCAACTACCTAAATTTTACAGTTATTTTCTTTCTATAAATATTTATTAAACACCTATGTGTTAGCAATGGGAAATTCAGCTGCAAACAAGACAAAACAAGGCCACAGCTTTCTAAGAACTTAAAGGTGGTTGGAGAAAGGAGATCATACTCAAGGAAACATTTAAGATAATTTCAGAGAGTAAGAGCTTGAAAAAAAGTAAAATAAGATAATGTGATAGAGGATGATGTTAGTGAAGGTTAATATTAGGAACTACTCAGGATCTCTTTGAAGACACAATCTTTCAACTGAAGCTTGAATGATAAAGAGGAGTGGCCATAAAAAAGATCTCTAAGGAAAGAGTTCTTGATGGAGGGAATAGATGCAGGATCTGATCCACAAAGGAGAAGTGAAATTAATTATGTCCAGTTATGGAACTGAGTCTCTGAATGGTACAAACAATTATAAGTAAGTGCTTTGCTTCTTACCAAAATGTTACTATGAATCCACCCAGAGGTGCCTTGCAGTCCTGATGTGGTGCTGTAAGATATACAATGGATTGCTACCACAAGGTCAGGTGGTTCACATCCACCACCTACTCCTTGTCAGATCTCTGTGAGTCGGAACTGACTCAACAGCCCTTAACAACAACAAGCTACGTGCCTTGGAAGAAAGCACAAGTTTTCTCTGACACACATGGGGTCACCATGAGTTGGAATATACTCAATGGCAACGTTGTTTTTGTTTTTATGTCATGGAGCTAGGAGTCCCTGGTTGGTTCTAAGTATAAATGTACATTACTGAAAGGTTGGAGGTTCTTCTTTGTGGCAGTGTCATCGAGTCAGTTCCAACTCATAGCGACCCTGTCTAAGGTTTCTGTGGAGCTGCTGGTGGATTTGAACCATCAATCTTGCAGTCTAGTGAATTATCCTGCAGGACTCCAATTACTAGAGGCAGTTTAGAAAGGGTTCCCATAAGGTTTGGGGATTAAAGCCAAAGAATAGCAAGTTGGAGGAATTGTCAGACAGAAAGAAAAAAGAACAGAAATCAGAGCTTTGTCAAAATAGTAGTGTTTTTGCAGACACAAAAGGAGTTGCAGAGGTGGGTAGAGAAGAGCAGATAAAGATGAGAGATAGGTAAAGAAGTGGAGCTTTCAAAGACGTTTGTATTTCATGCTGAAAAGATTTCCTTCAAAGGATACATGAAAGAGAAACTCTTTTGCATATTTAAGAGCTTGGTGAGTTAACTTTCAAACCCGTGGGTCCAGGGTCCACCTGCAGAATGATTCTGGTACAAAAATAGCCACCTGGCCTCTACCCAGGCCCTGTTGTCATGTTCACAGCAATTCCCAGTCAGCCTTAGTTCTCAGTTATCCAGACACTACAATGTCCTGATTCCTTGGTAGAAAAATCCAGCTACCTGGGCCATCCAGAACGGATCACATATCCACAACTCCACCTTTGGTTCCAGAGAGCCTAGAGTGGACACAGAAAAAGCAGACAGGGAGTTTATTCAGAAGTGGTCTCCAGAGATGAACCATTTGCATGTCAACAAAGTGTTTCATTTTTAACTTTTATCTTGCAAGTTTTGGAGCAGTTTCCATGGTAACTTCTTTGTGGCAATTTAAATATGTCCATGGTAGAAGAGTAAACAAGAAAAGGCCCCACCTACCCCTCTTCAGGAAAATATGTATTTTTCATTAAATGAATGGATGCTTATAGTTAGGCCAAACCAGCACATGTTTTGACAGAAAATGTTTTATTTATATGTGAGCAGCAGTTGGAGGCAGTGGATGCTGATTTTTTACCCCATGTGGTTGACTCCTTGGTGTTTCTTTTGGAGTTTAATTTGTGGTACTCCAGTGTAGTTCTGGTGTGGCACTGTGGACTGCAAAAGTGTTTTGAACTATAAGGTTGATGGTTCAAGCTCACCAGCTGCTCCTTTGAAATTCTATACAGGGTCGCTATGGGTTGGAACGGACTTGACATCACTCCACAACAACAATAAGCATGGCAGCTGTGGAAAGGCATCTCCCAGAATTCCCTTCAAAAGAACCGGTTTTGAGGAGTGTAGTTGGCTGACAGCATCCAGCAGTTACCACTGTTCTGGAATCTGTCTCACTATTTGTGTCAAGGCCATGCTCACCTTGGCTAGTCCTAGCCAACAACTGAGAAATGTGTGCTCAAACTGGCCATTTCTTACCATTCAGGACTCTAATCATTGCCTTGGGCTCTCCAACTTGGCCCAGTTTCCCCAGAGCTTCGCTGTCATCTGAGGCTCTCCCAAAAACAACTCTCCTTCCTCCTCTCTCTCCCTAGACAAGAGTTTCTCTGACACTCTTCCCATCTACTCTTGTTCCCCCTTCCCTTTATCCTTCAGAGATGTGTCCTCCAATAAATCTTTGATACTTTTAATTTCATCT